GATTGTGGTAGGCATTTAGAGATTTTCCCAGTTATCCACCAGAAAGTTCCATTGATTGTCTGGCTAGCCACTGGCAATAGGAGGTGACCCCTGAGCTGTTTGGAGATGCTGCTTGTCTCCTTAGTTTAGCTCCAGGAGATGAACCAGCTGGTGGAGTACCAATGGAGGAAGACCACAAGTGAATCTGATCAAGCACAAGTATTCAAGTCATGTCAGAAAGGGAGGCAAAGTGTCTATTTCTTCTCTGTTATTGCAAAAGCAAGCTATTACCCAGCTGCCTCATTTCCATTTAAATTCCATTTCTGGTAGAGAAATGGCAGCAGATCTTCCATCTGGCAGCTGTGACTGTTTTTAAAGTGCTTTGCAAATAAGGTTGCTCAGTTTCACCAAAGTATTGATTCTGCATGGGTGGGAGTCTAATGGAGACTGGACTGGTGTCTGCCCATGTTAACTGAGACTGCAGATTCTGATGAAGCAAATAAAATACTATTATGTCCCTGCCAGGTTCGTGCTCCTCCTGGCTCTTGCATAGGATAGTAGGGAGTGTGGTCCTAGATCCAGGAGTGGGTCATTACAGAAGGGATTATTTGCTACCATCTTGAAAGAGGCTGTGGTACGTTCCCTCCTTACGAGGGTCTTCCTGGATCTAGCTTTACTGGACAACTACTGGGCGGTTTCCAACCTTCCTTTTTTAGTGGTGGAGAGGCAATTTCAGAGCACCCTAGAAGAAGCAGATTATCTGGAACCTCTTCATCTTGGGATTGAGGACTGAGCATGGAAAAGAAACTGCATTGGTTGCACTGGTTTAACCTTTGACCTAGATTCAGCAGAACAGACCCTTTCTGTTCCTGTTAGATCTCTCAGTTGCCTTCAATACCATGGTATCCTTCTGGACCATCTATGGAGGTTTGGGATTGGGGTGCTATGCTCAACTTATTCTGGTCCTTCCTCAGTGGATGGTTCCACTCAGTTTCTGCAGGGAGGGAGAATTCAGCCTGGTGGCCTTTTACATGTGGAGTGCCATAAGCCTTAGCTCTCTCCCTCCTACCTTTTAACATCTATATGAAGCTACTGGAAGCAGTCATCCATTGGTTTTGGGTGGAGTATCCTTAATATGCTGATGATACCCAACTGTTGCCACCCCAGCTGTTCTGGTGATATAGTCAAACTCTTGCCTTAGTGCCTGGAGGTTGAGTGTAGATGGGTAGAAATAGGCTGAAGCTGAACCCACATGACAGAGCTACAGTTTATTCAATAACATTCTCTATCAGCTCCAATGTTCTCTTGAAAGGGTTGCACTGTCCCTGAGAGAGCAGGTCCATGACCTGGGGGTCTTTCCAGACTCACAGCTGCTGAATGATGAGGAGAAAGCCATGGCCAAGAGGCCTTTTGTCCAGCTTTGGTTGGTGGACCAGTTGCAGTCCTTCCTGAAGTAAGAGGACCTTGCAACAGTAATTCACGCTCTCATTATCAGTTGGTTAGACTACTACAATGCATTCCACATAGGCTGCTTTTAAAAACCATCTGGAAAGTGTAGCTGGTACAAAATACAGCGGTCAATGTGATAACTAGCACTAGACCATCAGCACATTACATCTGTGCTCTGAGCCCCTAATTGGTTGCCAATAGGGAGGAAATAGGTTTCTGGGTACAGTTGAAAGTGCTAGTTTTAACCTATAACGTCCTACATGATCTGATGTCAAGGTTAGGACCATCTACACATTAACCTGCCTGAGAAGAATAGCTTGAGAAGAATTAGTTGGAGTTCCCCACTACCATAAAACTAGGGAATTGAGTCCAGAAGATGTTTCTCAGTGATGGCCCTACATTATGGAATTGCCTCCCCAGAGAGATTAGATTTGCCCCGATGTTATTGTCCTTCCAGAAAAAAATTAAAACAGAGCTCTTCTAGAGGCCTTTTAAAGTTTAATTGAGGGAATGCCATATATATGTTTATATTATGCTAAATTAATATTTATTTATTTATTTATTTATTTATTTATTGGTAATTGGTATATTATTATATGGGGGCTATTTTTTGATTATGTAAATTCCTACATTGAGACTTACATTACAGTATCCATGTGCTTCTTTTCTCAAAATGACTGGAAGCTCTGCCAGTTCTTGGCAACTGTGGCCAAAGGGAGAACCTGGAGTTGCAAAAATAGCAAATCTGGGGCTACCTGAAATATTAGGAAGCAGGTTACCCCCTTGCTGAAGTGAAGGAGGCTTCTAGAAATCTTGAGACTGAAAAGGGTAACAGAATGAGGGCTTGGGAAACTTGCTTGTACTTGTTTTGCATGTCATAAAAGATTGCTGCTGAGAATCTAATTGCCTTGGAATGGTAGGTTATTAAAAATGGGGGGGGGGTCAATTCTAAAGTAGCACGGAGAGAGATTTCTCATGGGCTATTTAAGCACAAAGCATCGTTCAATATAAACAGGTTTTATTCTGGCATTCCATCATCCTTGACAAGTCTAGTTTGTTCCTCTCACAGTGACATCATTCCCATATGGAGATTACAGGTGCCTGCTTGCACGAGACTCATGTACAAGGGAGTTCAGGAAGTATTTCCTCAAATGCACGTATAGGCATATCCCATTCTGAAGGGCAATCAAAGATCCTAACCCAGCTTTCTCCAACTTGGTGCCCTCCACTTGCCAGATGCCTTGGCCATGCTGGCTGGAGATTCTGTAAGTTCAAGCTCAACCCATCTGGAAAGTATCAAGGTGAGAAAGACCTCACTTTATTAAACTACTTATCATCTTTATAAGAAAGGCCCTATTACCAAAGCAGGAAGAACAAACTTTCAGGAAAACTTAATTTATTTTTGCATGGCTCAACAGACGGAAGTCCCTAACAAACCTTGGCTGATCTCGGAAGCTAAGCAGAATTAGCCTTGATCTGTCGTTAGATAGAGAGCTGCAGGGAATTCCAGGGCTGTTGGTTAAACTGGGAATTCAAAAGAAGAAGGTGGCAATAGCAAACGACAACTATAACACAGCCAAGAAAACTATACGGCTGCACTCAGCAGGGGCTAAGCATGATTTCAGTGTCACTTTATTTTTTCTGCAAATTTGGAGCATGTGCAGATGCTGCAATCATATGTTTTCCAGACTAAAGAGGATGCTGTGTGGTTAAAAGTGTTCCAGATAAGATATGGAATGTTCTGCTTCTGAGCAGGAAAGATGCAAAGCACAAGTGTAGGATGGTTGGCAGTTGTTGTTGTTGTTGTTG